TGTAGTCCCAGCTACTTGGGAGGCTGAGGCAAGAGAATCGCTTAAGCCCAGAAGATGGTGGTTGCTGTGAGCTGTGTGTTGCCACGGCACTCTATCAAGGGTAACAAAGTGAGACTCTGTCTATACAAAAAAAAAAAAAGAAGAAAGAAAGAAAAGTAAATCTGAGCCTGAAGATCTAGCCTGGGAATCCAAGACTGGGCTCTCAAAACAAATGAAGAATTGTGCTAGAAGGAAGGGGCCACCATAGTGACTGTGAAGAAATTAACCAGCTACCTTGAAACTAACTTCATCCTTGAAAGGCTATAAAACCCAACAACAGGTTTGCCTTGCTGCTTCTCCTTTCCTTCTAAGATGCTACTCTCTGCCTGTCCTCTCCATTGGCCTTGCTCTGAACATTCTGTTCCTATTTTCACTGCCCACACTTCAGATCCTCTCCTGCAACCCCAGGAGAGCGCCCCCTCCTACTGCCTGGGGAGGCTTCCTAAACTATAATCTAGCTAGGCCAGCCCGTTGAGGTCATTTCTCTCCTTGCCAAACGATTGGCCTGAGTTCAGTGTCTCCATCTGTCCAAGCTTCATGGAAAACTTGATTGCTGCTCTGTGCTTTCTATTTTTTTTTTTTTTTTTAGATGGAGTTTCACTCTGTTGTCTAGGCTAGAATGCCATGGTGTCAGCCTCAGTTACAACCTCAAACTCCTGGGCTCAAGCAATCCTTTTTCCTCAGCTTCCTCAGTAGTTGGGGACTATAGGCACCTGCCACAACACCTAGCTGATTTTTCTATTTTTAGTAGAGATGGGTCTCAATTTTACTCAGGCTGGTCTCAAACTCCTGAACTCAAGTGTTCCTCCTGCCTCAGCTTCCTAGAGTGGTGGATCACAGGCGTGAGCCACCAGGTTCAGCCTCTGGGCTCTCTATTCTATGTCCTGCCTTAGACGTTCTATGTCCTATTTTGCCTTTGATACTTTTTTGTTTCTTCTCTCCCCCTACTTTCTTTTCCCGACTCTCTCCAGACTAGAATCACATCTGTTTTCTAGCCTCTGCCCCCTCACTGCACAGCAGATGTGAGAAGAGCAAGTTCTCTGCCAGGTAGATCAGGAAGAGCTGGGCTTTGTACTCAAAGTTGTTCTGGGGACTGACCATAACCCATGTACCTCAGAGATGGAACAATTACAGGTCCCTCAAGGCTACCAGAGGTGCTTAGGAAATGCTATATTTGATTGTTTCTATGCTTACTGCTCTTTTTCTCTCAACTAGATCCCTCCCTCCTTCCCTCTGGTCCATCCGCCTTCCATCATTTACTCTTTCTTTCTTGTAGTCTGTAATTTATTAACACGATCTGTTCTCTGTCCACTGTTCTCTTCTCTAATTTAGCTCATTCGGGAGATACACAATGTAGACTACAGCAGCTAACAGCTAAAAACACCAATGTACTGTATATGAAGTACACCATTCCTCAGACTTGAGTTTCTTTAATTCAAGTTTATTATCTCCAAAGTGGAGCTGTTTAGGGGTCTAACCACTAGGGTTTCTATAAATAAGAACAAATATAAAGTCTTTAAAATTCCTAAATCACAGAATGTATTGCCTTCATATGGTAGGATCTGGGGGAAAATACCGATAGAAAATGAGGTAAGCAAAGCTGGTGGGCATGATGGGCTCAGCGCTTGTAGTGGTTACGGCGCTGGCCACATGCACCAAGGCTTGTGGGTTTGAACCCAGCCCAGGTCTGCTAAACAACAACTGCAACAAAAAATAGCTGGACACTGTGGCGGGCGCCTGTAATCGCAGATACTTGAGAGGTTGAGGCAAGAGAATCGCTTAAGCCCAAGAGTTTGAGGTTGCTGTGAGCTGTGATAGCACAGTTCTCTACTAAGGGCAGCATAGTGAGATTCCGTATCAAAAAAAAAAAAAAAAAGGCTGGCCATGATGGCTCACATCTGTAGTCCCAGCACTTTGGAAGGCCAAGGTAGGAGGATTGTCTGAGATTAGGAGTTCAAGAGCAGCCTGGGCAATGCAGTAAGTGGTGACAGAGCGAGGCTCTCTGTCTAAAAAACAAGAAAGAAAAAGAAAATGAGGCAAGCATAATTAACTTGCCTCCCAGTTTTCTTTTCATTTTATTCTTGAGATTCCGGAAACCAAGATTCTTAACGTATGCTTAAACAAAGCCAAAAGACAAAATAAGTCTGGCACCTTCCCTCATGGAGCTCCTCCACATCTGAAAAGAATTCGGACAGTTCTGAGTTCCTTAGCTTTTTATAACCCTAAAACAACTAGCCTGCCTCTTGGATAAAACTCATGTACTGTCTGTGTTTGCTTGGTTGTGAGAATAAATAGAATATGAGGGAAAAACGAAGAAGAATCTGAATGTGTGAGTCAAGAAAGAGGCAGAGAAGAAAAGGAGATATAGGAATAGAAAGGAGATACAGGAAAATGAATTTGTTAGTGTTGAGAAGATGAATACTGAAAAAGAAAGAGGCCAGGCATGGTGGCTTAGGCCTGTAATCCTAGCACTCTGGAAGGCCAAGGCAGGAGGATCACTTGAGGCCAGGAGTTCAATACCAGCCTGGGCAACATAGTGAGATGCAGTCTCCACAGAAAGTAGAAAAATTATCCAGGGCAGTGCCTTGGCTCAGTGGGCAGGGCACCAGCCCCATATACCGAGGGTGGTGGGTTCAAACCTGGCCCCAGCCAAACTGCAACAAAAAAATAGCCGGGTGTTGTGGCAGGCACTTGTAGTCCCAGCTACTTGGGAGGCTGAGGCAAGGGAATTCCCTAAGCTCAGGAGTTGGAGGTTGTTGTGAGCTGTGTGACCCCACGGCATTCTACTGTGGGCCATAAAGTGAGACTCTATCTCTACAAAAAAAAGAAAACAAAAGCAAAGAAAAGAAAAGAAAAGAAAAATTATCCAGATGTGGTGGCACATACCTGTGATCCCAGCTACTTGGGAGGGTGAGCCAGGAGGATCGCTTGAGCCCAGGAGTTTGAGGTTGCAATGAGCTGTGATGATATATTACTGCACTCTAGCCTGAGAAAGGATGATGAAAGGATGATTCAAATATGTAAGATGACAGGAGGAAGGAAACAGATTGGTAATGTACACTCTTAGGATTCTTTTTTTCTTTTTCTTTTCTTTTCTTCCTTTCTTTTTTTTTTTGAGACACAGCCTCAAGCAAGTGCCGTGGCGTCACAGCTCACTGAAGCCTCCAACTCCTGGGCTTAAGCAATTTTCTTGCCTCAGCCTCCCGAGTAGCTGGGACTACAGGTACCCACCACAATGCCCAGCTATTTTTCGGTTGTAGTTGTCATTGTTTGGCAGGCCTGGGCCAGATTTGAACCTGTCAGCTCTGGTGTATGTGGCTGGTGCCTTAGCCGCTTGATATACTCTTAGGATGAGAGAGAACTATCTAGGTAAGAAGGAAACTCAGAGGGAAAAGGGAGGCTGGAGCCAGACTGAAAGTAGGGAAAAATAGGCTGATGGAAGAAAGGCATATATGAGCTTGGGCCAACCCTTCTAGAGAGCAGCCAGGTCTCTCGCCAGTGTGGTTATAACCTTTGGAATGAGGGTGTGAGTGACTGCAAATTCCCATCTTCCTCTTCATTCCAGCCTCATTGTAACATGCATTCTATGCCTCTAGCCTGACTTCTCTCTCTCCTTCTCTCTTGCTCTCCCTCTTCTCATTGCTTCAGAGTAGGCCAAATCTGAAGTCCTTTCCAGGGAGTGGCTCTGTTCATCTTATTCTCCAGCCAAAATCTGAGCAGTGTAAGAGGAGAGAGACACACTCGGCAGCCAAAGGACTCCGTGGAAAGAACAGAGCACCACAGACAGTGAGTTACTTCATTACATAAAAACCTAAATAGAGGGAATGTAAGACAGAGAGAGAGAGAGAATGTGTGTGTGTATGTGTTGAAAGGCCGGAGAGGGACAATGGGGATGGATTGTCATTGAACTTAGATTTGAGCAGACTCCCCAATTATCCATGAAATTCAAATGAGAAGAGACACCAACATGAGCAGATGATACAGAAAAGGAAGATTAGACTGGAGGGGTGAAAGAGGCCACTGGAGAGGGCCAAATGTGGACCATTTGGAATATAAAATTTCCTGACTTGGCAGGCAAGAGTAATAGGAGAAAGAATCATGGTCAGTGACCAAAGAATAGAATTGAGGGAGAAATGAAAGTTGGGTGAAAGGTAAGAAAAGAGAGAAAGGGTTTGAGACGTACCAGGTAAGCAAGAAAGCTCGAGAGACAGGGAACCAGAGACATTTTTCCTGGGTCCTACAATGCTGATGGGTCCCTCAGCATCACACTATCTCTTTTCCCACTGCCCCTATCAGACATGTTGCTCCTGGGACCCAAGGTGCTGCTGTTCCTCACTGTACTCATCGTGCCCTCTGGTGAGTCTCTATCTTTCTTCCTTTCTCCCTAAAATGTCAGCTCCTTAGCTATCCACGTATGTGGAGATGCATGTTAGAAAGGTGGGATGGAATGAGGTTGAAGGGGAATGGGAGGAGAGATGCTTGGTATCGAGTTCTAGAATTGCTATTACAGAGACAAAAAGAACAGATTTTTGTATCGAAGAAAAAAGGTCAGGAATGTGACTAGACTTCAGACTTGGAAAAAGGCATCATGAGAACTGTGAAACTAAAGTGAAACTAAGATACACACAAATGCCTATCAACCCCCAAAGAGGGTCATGCACATAAATATACAAATAGACAAATACCAGAGGTTAGAGAAGCTAATATACTGGGTCTTCCTAATAAGAAAGTGGGCCAAATTTAAATCTTGAATGAAAACAGTGGAAATACATACACTAACTCCCAATAAACACGAGCACTGATATACACACAAAAGAACGACAGAAAAAATATCCAGCACGCACTCACACAAAAGAAACATGATCTTCATAGATTTTCCAGAATCTAGCTCCAAGATTTGCCACAAAAAGTGTATCTAAGAACTTAAAGAAATCCTACTCTATTTTTACTTCGCTTTCTGCCAGACACAGACTGAGGAAACAACTCTTCTGTTTTGTTCAGCTAAGAGGAAAGCTGCTGGGATAGAAGGGTGGGACACACAGGAGAGGCTGCTGGCACTCTCTGGGGACTAGGACTCCATTCCAGGTTGGGAACAAAGGCAAGAGAGGGCCTGCATGAGGGCGCAAGAGAGTGGGGCTTTGTTCTCAGGGACTTGCCCTGCTTGAGTGTTTCTATTCCTACCAATATTGTGCATAGCACCAACAGTTTGAGTAATTTTGTATGGAGCTGTATAGGAATAAAACATTAAAACAAAGTACAACAATTTCTCCATCATTTTCTGATTCATCTCATTAAAGAATTCTGGGGTACAGAGCTGTCGTCACTCACATCCCTTTTCTCCTTTCTTTGCTATAGAATGGATACCCCTATGGGTCAATGGTCAACGAGGAGGTAGGTGAACTCTTATATATATATGGGCTCTGTTGGGGTGCTTGGCAAGATAATAAAGAAGATGAATAAAGTTAAGGACTGTCCTATGACAAAGTGATACATAGCTAAGGTATGAAAAACAAGATCTATTTCACCAGTTTTCACAATCCCACCATCCCATATATGAAGCCTTTTTTTTTTTTTTTGGAGACAGAGTCTTACTTTGTCACCCTCAGTAGAGTGCTGTGGTATTGTCACTTGCAGCAACGTCAAACTCTTGGGCTCAAGTGATTCTCTTGCCTCAACCTCCTGAGTAGTTGGGACTATAGGTGACCCCCACAATACCTGGCTATTTTTAGAGACAGAGTCTCACTCTGGCTTTTGCAGGTCTCAAACTCCTGAGCTCAAGCAATCCACCTGCCTCAGCCTCCCAAAGTGCTAGAAATACAGGTGTGAGCCATGATGCCCAGTCCCCCACTTACAAAATCTTCTTGGCTAGGCGCCTGTGGCTCAAGTGGCTAAGGTGCCAGCCACATACACCTAAGGTGGTGGGTTCGAATCCAGCCTGGGCCACCAAACAACAATGACAGCTGCAACCAAAAAATAGCCGGGCATTGTGGCAGGCGCCTGTGGTCCCAGCTACTTGGGAGGCAGAGGCAGGAGACTCGCTTGAGCCCAGGAGTTGGAGGTTGCTGTGAGCTGTGATGCCAGAGCACTCTACCCAGGAGGACAGCTTGAGGCTCTGTCTCCAAAAAAAAAAAAAAAAAAAAAAAACTTCTTGTTTTCTTTTTTTCTTTTTCCATTGCTGAAACTCCTTTCCCAGATTCTCTATGCCCATTTCTTGTTTCTACTCTCCTCTTAAGATCTCTTATCTCAATCTCAATCAGGAAATGCCCACTAATCCTTACAGAAAGCATTTTTTAAAGTCCTGTAATTGAAAAATGAAAATGCAAAGACAGAGTACCAGCTCATCTCAGTAGAAGGGAAATTATGGCATGATTGGGCAGAACCCAAAAGTTTTAGCTCCTAAAGAACCATTTCCTGGCTCGGAGCCTGTGGCTCAAGTGGCTAAGGTGTCAGCCATATACACCTAAGGTGGTGGGTTCGAATCCAGGCCAGGCCCACCAAACAATGACGGCTGCAACCAAAAATCAGCCGGGCATTGTGGCAGGCACCTGCGGTTCCAGCTACTTGGGATGCTGAGGCAGGAGACTCGCTTGAGCCCAGGAGTTGGAGGTTGCTGTGAGCTGTGATGCCACAGTACTCTACCCAGGGGGACAGCTTGAGGCTCTGTCTCAAAAAAAAAAAAGAAAAATAAAAAAAGAACCATTTCCTTCATTTCAATGAAGAAAACTCCACCCTGCCTGAAGGCATTCAACATAATTATAATTTATCTCTCTATTTCTCCCAACTCAGGAGGGTTAGTCTGCAACCCAATAATGGGTCATAAAATCAAGTTTAGTGGGTCACATCTGATACATATTTTAGGAATTAAAGTAGACCAAAATAAATACATTAATGTTCATTACAGGTATTTTGCAAAAATAAAACATTATTTTGTCAAACTAGTCTCAGTTTTACAAACGTGTACTGGTGCACAATACTACAGGGGTCCTATTACAGAAGATAAAAATATGGACATAATTTTTTTTTCTGTTTTTGGTAAAAATATCTGAATCCTCAAGTTTCTGAACTTAGATCAGATTTCAGCACTGACAAAACTAAAATTCTGAATTCATTTCTCTGGGTTACTTAAGGGCCAGACCTCTTTTACAATAGTAGAATGCTTTTCTAGGAGAAATATGATAAATTACAATGAAAATGTCTTAAGATTCCATCCCAGAGAACTTCATGAATCTACATAAAACATTTATATGGTGGTAACTCTTGGAGAAATTGGTTACACTGAGTTATATACAAAAAAGCAGCACTCTGCCCTGAAATCCCAAAGCAATGGCTACAATGTACTCTCAAGCCCTCTGTCCTTGCCTTGCTTGGCTCCTGTTTCTCTGAGTGGCCGTCCTGGAATGTGACTAGGCCTCTGGAGAAAGGGAACCAGGAAGGATTGATTGGGCTACACCCCGGAGAGGCTCTGGTCCGCTCTTAGAGTTTCTGCAATGATTCTGGTCAGTGGTTTTTCACATACCCTGTGGGATTGGAACAGGGTTGGACTCCTTTTATAAAAACTTGTTCTGGAAAAACAAAGCTTATAATGAATGTTAAAGGCAAAGGGGTTCTTTTAGTCAGACATGATGACTTTCTACTAGGAATTTAGAATAAAAGGATGAAGTAAGCAGGGAAAACGCCTATGAAATGCTTTATTTGTGCCAGGCGTTGTTGCGGGTGCCTGTGGTCCCAGCTACATGGAAGGCTGAGGCAAGAGAATCACTTAAGCCCAAGAGTGTGAGGTTGCAGTGAGCTGTGACGCACAGCACTCTGACAGCTTGAGACGCTGTCTCAAATAAAAAAGAAAGAACAACTGAAATGCTTTATTTGTGTTTTGCCTTTCTTACAATTATAGATAACTCTGACATGCTTTATAAAAAGGTTTATTCTCACCAGATCTAGACCTGACGTTTAGAATCTCAAGTTTAAAAAGAAAAAGTCAAAGCAAAGTATGTGAATTTGCTGACCTCTAGTGGGTGAAATAAATTATGAATATAAATTATATAGGGCTGGGCGTGGTGGCTCACGCCTGTAGTTGTAGCATTCTGGGAGGCCAAAGCCAGAGAATCGCTGAACTCAGGAGTTCCAGAGCAGCCTGAGCAAGAGTGAGAACTCGTCTCTACTAAAAACAGAAAAACTATGGATTGTGGTGATCCATGCTTGTAGTCCCACCTACTTGGGAGACTGAGGCAAGAGTATGATTTGAGCCCAAGAGTTTGAGGCTGCTGTAAGCTATGACGACACCACCAGCACTCTATCCAGGGTGACAGAAACTCTATCAAAAAAAAAAAAAGAAGGGAGGCGCCTGGGGCTCAAAGGAGTAGGGCGCAGGCCCCATATACCAGAGGTGGCAGGTTCAAACCTGGCCCCGGCCAAAAACTGCAAAAAAACCCCAAAAAACAAAAAAAAATATAAATTATATTGAGAGTATTGGAAAATGGTATATTTATTCAATATTTCAATGGTATTTGTTGAAAGAGTGGATCTCAGATGTTCTTATCACACTCACAACACACACACACACAACCAGGAAGCTATGTGAGGAGGTAGATACAAGTATGTTCATTTGCTTGACTGCTTGAGTGTAGTAATAATTTCACTTTGTGTATGTATCTCAGAACATCATGTGTACCTTAAATATATACCATAACATTTGTATATGAGGCCAGGCATTGTGGCTCATACCTGTAATCCTAGTACTTTGGGAGGTTGAGGCAGGAAGATCACTTGAGACAAGGAGTTTAAGAGCAGCCTGGGCAATAAAGTAAAACCCTGTCTCTACAAAAAATAGGAAAAAATCAGCTGGGCATGATGGCATGAGTCCCACCAGTAGTCTCAGCTACTTAGGAGGCTGAGGCAGGAGAATCATTTGAGCCCTGGAGTTTGAGGTTGCAGCAAGTTATGATGATGCCACTACAGTTTAGCTTGGGCAATTAGAGCCAGACCCTGTCAAACAAAATTTATATATATAAATACATATATATATATATGTTTAATACATATATGTGTGTATGTATTAAAAGTAAAAGTTAATGCTGTTTTGTTATTTTGCTTTTTGTAGTAGAGACCATTTATTTCAGGAAATTCTGTTATTTATAGTTTTATGTACAGTTTCTCAATTTATCCTGACAAATTTTACCTGAAGACCTAGGACCTTTTTATTTTTCTCCTCTTGCTGTTATTTTCCAGTGATCAAATGCAAAGCATTCTCTACTTAAATTGATATTTTCTCTCATCTCTCTTTTTTTTTTGACACAGAGTTTTACTATGTCACCCTCAGTAGAGTTCTATTGCATCATCGCTCACAGCAACCTCAAACT